GTGTTTGTTGATTTGAGATTGGAAAACGATCCTGAGAAAGTCAACATGTGAACAGAGGATGATTGTACACGATCTAACACCTCATGTCCCTGAAGTTACTCTTACATACCATACCACGTCAGATTAAAGTAACTATAGCTTGATTTCAGGAACTTGGATATCACCTGAACAAAAATGTGTGTACCTTGGGGAACGGGAGAGTATTTAGGATCACCAATTTTTTTTTTATGTTCATGCTGATGGACAATTTGATGTCTTCATGTTGATCAACCAAAAAGTACATATTTTTCATTACTGCAGCTCAGTAGAGCCCTCAAATTATGTATCTTCTAGAGTTAGTTACCAATATCACCTTTGCTCCACTTCAATTTATGAAGGTTTTTTGGAGGAGACAAAACTCTCTTGCCCAGGATTTGCACGTGAGCTATCTTTAAAGACTCTGTCTTGCTAGTCAATGAAGGGAAAAGTGATAGTGCGTCTATATTGTATAGAAATAAAGAGGGGATTTATATGTATATTGGGGATTGTTATAGTTTTCAGGTTGTAGTCTCAATCTCACTTGTATGTAATAAAAATGAGGAATAACTAGAACATGGTCATATTCTAGCTTACATAAGTGAAAATGTACTTTAATATAAACTTTTTAAAGGAGATAGCAGACTTTCTTCAAGCCTTAGTTTTGTCCAGATAATATCAACTGTAACACCGTGCAATAAGTGCCTACTAAGAATAATGCCTTTTGTAGAAGGTATGACACTGAACTAATCAGAGCTTGGATTTGATCCAGCATCACTCCCTCTCTTCCTATGCTTTTCTGTGGAGACTTGTTTTGGGGGATGAACTCTTTTCTTCCATTTGGAGAAAGGATAGCCAGGTGTTTCCAAGGGATTTTGTGGAAAATATCCCAGTCTTGGAAGGGTTTGGTTAACCTGACAGTTGTTTGTGGGAGGCTGCAAGATGTTCTAGCTGACCTATGGACTCGGGTCTTCTATGTGCTCTGAGTCCTGCCCTGCGGGAGCACAGCGGTAGGTTGCCAAGGCTTTCTGAGTCTCAGGGAAGCATTTCATGGGAAAGACAAAATTTCTGTGTAAGATTGTGAAACTGTAGCAGGTAGAGGTGCCCAGGCACTGGCAGCCTGTGAGGGGAGGCCGGGGCTGCCCCGTGCCGGACACGGCCGGTTCCAGCCGGCTCCAACCCACCCACCGCAGGGCACGGCTCGGCCCCACAGACACCCTGGGGGTGCTTTGAGGGAAAACATATTTAAGAAAGGAGAGAAAATGCCTGAGAGAGGAGGGAAGCAAAAGGAGTGACAAACAGCAGTGGGAACACCAGGGTCGGAGGAGGAGGAGGAGGTGCTCTGTGATTGAGCAAATGTTCCTGAAGGACTGCAGCCCACAGAAAACTCCCGCTGGTGCAGGAGAAGAGTGAAAAGGTAGGAGCAGCAGAGAGGAACCGTTACATACTGACTGTAACCAGCCACCACCACCAACTTGCACCACTTGTTGCCTCCCTGAAGGGACTGAGTGTAACCTGCAGTGGTTGTGTGCAGGGAGGAGAGAAGTCTGGAGTGAATGTGAGCAGTGGAGGAAGGGTGTTTTTCCTAAGTGTTTTAATGTTTGCTTCTTTTTGCTTTGTTCCTATTTTCCAGTACCTGAGATGGTAAATCAATATTTCAAGTAGTTGGCAGTAAATTAAGTTAATTTTCCCAAGCTGAGTGTGTTTTGCCCACGCAGTAGTTGGTAAATGATCTCCCTGTCTTTGACCCATGAGATCTTTCATTCCGTTCTTCCTGTTTTTCCCCCACCTCGCCCACCCTCGTCCTGCTGAGGGGAGAGTGAAAGAGCATCTGTGGGGGGAGCTTGGGTGCTAGCCAGGGTCAACCCACCACTGAAGCTAGAAGCGATTCAGTCTCTGCCCAGGGTTTAATCACTCTTACCAGTAAGCAAAGGAGCAAGATTATATGAACATGTGCCATGTCTGTATTCGAGGTATGCTTAAGCATGCTTTGTGTTTAGGCACCTGGAAGCCATGCTATGTTCTGTACCACCATTCTGAGCTGCAGGTAGGAGAAAGTTTAAGGATACTGAAAAATAGCTGTAAAACCAAATATACAGTCTGCTCAAGATGATGACAGACTGGAGAGTTAATAGTTTTACATGGCTGGAAGCTTTACCCTCAGCTCCTTCTTAAAAGGTCTGATACTTGTTTGCAGTAGGATAGCAAGAGATAACATGGCAAGCCAAGCTACTGACATATTGCAGTCATAACCTTGGTAATGGTATAGCTCACATGCTCTTCCCTACTCTGTGCACAAGGTTGGTTTATATGTAAAGGAATTCTTCCTGTGGGGAATGTTGTGGAGAAGAACGTGAATAGGAGACAACTCATTCCAAATATTTATTCTGTATTCTTAGTTTGCCTTTAAGAGTAATGTTTGTTGGTTTTATAATCATCCTTTAGATGCTTTTTTTCTTTCCATAAAATAAAACTTCAGAAATGAGATTCATAACTTTTAACTAGTAGAAAGAAGAGCATTCTTGAATATCTCCAGTATCTGATTACTTTTGTTAGTCAACAACCCTTTTTATGTCACATTTTTATAAGCTTAGCCATTAGCTTTGCAGCAATGTTTATGACATTTAGGACATAACCAACCCATCTCTTCTTAGCCCAAGACAACTATGCCCCCAGGCTGGAAAAATCCAGACTTAATGCTTGAGACTGGGAGATTTGTTGATACACTGAGATTATACAGTTGTGCGTACACTTTTTTTTCCTGATGCGGTAACAGTTTGCTAATCCTGTGCATGTATGTCAAAACAAAGACTGATGCTTGAATTATGGTTTGTAAACTACTTAAAGATGCATATGTGCTGAACAAATATGTAATTTGGGGACTCCCATTTAAATAGATCAACTTTTTAAAATTGTTTTGAGTCATCATTCATTTACACAGTAAAAGTTGTTACTGTTCTTCTTTGTAAGATTAAGTGTTACAGGTAGTCCCCCAAATTCTGTCACATGTAACTGTTTTGTCCTGTGAAGTTAATATCCCAATATATTTACTGTTTTTATGACTGAAGGATTTAAGCTAGTCAGGACTGCTGCAAATTGAGTTTAATGTTTTCATGGTCATCTTTGTTTTACAAAACCTAAGTATAAAGGGAAAAAAGGGAAAACTTGAAATTGTTCAGAAGGGAGGAACTCAAGAAACATTTATACATCCTTGTAATTTAAACCTATCATCAATTAGCACTTCATCATTAATCAGCCTGGGTAGGGAAAAAAAAAAAATCAATGTAAGTACTGCCAGTTCAGTGATTTGGCATCATCTTCATAGAAAGGATCTGTTGAAGAATTATTCCAAGTTAATTTTTAGTGGATCTTTTTTCCAAATCACATAATTGCTCTTCATCTTTCTGTATTATTTATTTCTTTTCCTTTATTATCCTTTAAGCATCATCAATATCAGTTTGAAATTTTCTGGCTTATTCAAGAAAAAACAATAACTTTCTAATATGTTCTCAAACCAAAACTATTGCATCCTGATGATGAAAGCAACTGTCATGTAGCTTTTGAAAAGTGCCTTGAATATTCTGAAATGTACTTTATCATAGATATCTAAGATGATCAGTCATGCTGAACTGTTTGAAGTGTGCTATCTGAGAACAGTCAGGATATAGTTAAATTGCATATTTGCATACAATGTGTATAGTTAAATTACCTATTAGAAACATAGATCACTAACAAGAATTATTTCTGTCAGACACAACCACATTTTAAATGTTTAGGTATTAATCCAACCAAGCTGCAGCTTGGTAATAAACTCTAATCATCTGGGATCTTCTAGCAAGTTTGTGGTTTGGCAGGTACACAATTAACCTCCGTAAAGATGTTTTTACTATATGTTATTTTAACAATTCTGTCTGTGTGTTTTAAAGGGGCAAATTGCTCCCAGGAAGGGAAGGCTTAGTGCTGTGTCTGTACTGCCTTACGTAGCTGGCTGAGTGTAAAAAAAAAAAACAAAAAAAAAAACAACACACAACCATGTAAAATTATTCTGCGTCATCTGGAGACACCCTGCACAACCAGGCCTTCTGGGTCTCCCTGTGGTTGATCTCAACTGTTGTCACTACTGAGCAAAAAAATGCAGTCTGCTGTTTGGACTGGTTTCATGTAAGTGGAGCAGAGATGCATCTCTCATTCCTACAGAGCCACTTCTTGTCTGGTGAACAAATGAAAAGTTTATACTGCCACTCTTGTATGTATTTTTCAAAACCTTTTAAAAGGGAAAAAAATCCTACAAAAACAGTCTACTGCCATCATCACAAATAGTTTCCTATATAATGAAGTAGCTGGAAAGCTGGCCGCTGGCACTCTTTCCCCCACCACACCCTCAGAAAGTAGCAGTGAAAGAATGAGATGAGCCCTCTTGGGCAGGCTCTGCTGAGGCTTAGTCAGTTGTGGCTTTCAAACTTCCTTTATCTTTGCACCCTTCGGAACAGCATAGGCAGTATTTAAAAGGTCTGCAAATGGACAAATCACAGTTCTGTGATTCTTTTTCTATTGTTTCTATCATTTCATCATCAGTTTATCTCTCCATCCATTCATCCATCCATCTTTCATGAAACGGTTCTTAAAGAAGTAGTGTCTGCTTATGCTGAATGGCGAAAAATGTGTAGAATGTCTTGAAATATCACTGTAAGTGAAAGTTGCTTCTGAAGTTAGGGCACAAGAATTGTCTGACACAGGGAAAAAAAATCTATCTCTGGTGGAAAGAACTAACCTGTGAAGTATTTGTTTATTTTGTAGCTGCTACAGAGTTTGGTGCAATTTTGTTGGTCGTAGAATAATTTCAGTGTTCTATACCTGACTTTTTCTCACTTCCTTTTCCTCTGTAAGGATTTTTTGAGACCACTTATCATCGCTGTAGTTGAGAAAATGTTTGAGAAAATCTATACTGTGCTCAGTAACCAGACACTGTTTTTTCTGTTTTGTAGGTAGTGACAATACAGTTCTGTCTCCAAGGAGGATGTACACAGTGAATCTTCCTCCGGAAGGTTACGTTGCAGTTACTTCAGATGCTATTAGTATTTCAGTTTCTGAAAACTCAGACAGTAGTGCTGACTTAGCAGGTAAGTTTGTATGGTTGTTACTATGATGAATTTTTCTCAAGAGAAACTTCATAGCAGCTCATCAAATTGATCCAAATTGCAACAATTAAGTACTTAAACTGTTGCTGCCAGTGGGTGTCACTGTTTTGCAGCATAAGCAAAATAAGGATGTACATCCCTATGGGTTCATTTCCATTGTTAAGAGTTTGAAGACCAGATTCAACATTTGGTTATAGCCATGCAGTGCCATTGATCTTACTGAAGTTACATCAGGTGTAACTGAGGACAAAGTCTTCAGCTCCTCTCACTCAAGTGCCATGTGCATATTATGCCTGCTTACAGTCATATTATTTTTAAGGGTAAATGTTAGATAAAGATGTTTTAATAATCTTACTCCTGATGTTCTGAGGACTTGGGCAAAGACTTAACGACCTTTCAAATTTACCTCTCCGAATTAGAACAAACGTTCACCTGATTGGAGTTGATGGGGGGAGATACCAATTCTTTAGCCTTGAAAGACTTTCTAATGAGAAACTGTGACCAGGTTACTTCAGAACCAGTATTGAGTGTTGTCAAAGGATACAAAAGAAGCAGCACAGGATCTGTAAAGAAGTGGACTCTGAGTTGACTTCAGTTAAAATCATGGTTTTCTGAATGACATTACCAGAATTAAATTGATTCTGTCTGTCTTAGAAGTCCTGAGCTTAGATAACACAAATTCATTTAGTGTTTTCAATTGGTGGAGATACATCTTTTTCCAAAATTGTGTATCACTGTCATTTGCTGCTAGGGGCAGTCTACAGCAAAGAAAATACCCAGGTGAGCCTGCTGAAGTAAAACACTTGATAAGCAGGGTTTATTAAACTACTGTATCTATTTCAGCCTAGAGACTGCCTAAGTGTTAGGAAAACCTGAGATACAACCTGCAGATACAGAAAGGCAAATGCTTCTTGCCTTTGAAAGCAGTACCCACAGGCCTGAATTTTCATCTTGGAAGTTGGGTCTGCGCTATATTCTGAGCTCTGTTCAGAATCTGAATACAAGTAAAACTATCAAAGTAGCCCTAGAGACTGAAGCAAAGTACAGTGGGACTGGTGGCACATTAAGAATGTTCTTTCTTGGTGTGAAATGGCTTAAAGACATTTTTTGGATTGGGGAAGGAGTAACTTTTTATCAGAGTAACATAACAGTAGATCTTGATACTGTGGGGATTATGGATAGGAAGTTGTTATAATGCACAGCTTCCAGGTTGTGTTTTTCTCTTTATATTAGATAGGATTCATGTTCAGAATCCAGAGTCTGTTTCTAGACTATCCTTAAGTTTCTTTAGTTACACAGTTCTCTTAGAACAGTTCGTTGGGTTTCTGTTTCCCCACGTCAGGTTCAAGCTGCTTATTCTGATATTGAAGTACCTTTTCTCTCCTTCCATGTCATATAATCTCTGTTTATTCTTTGATGTGATCTCCTTTCAGATATTAGAGGGTCGCTCCCCTTCTTCTCTATTTTGTTAATAAGACTCAATGAAGTCTCATAATACTTTGTAGGTAAATAGACCTATAACATTCACTTTTGTACTGGGATTTAAGTGACTATTAATAAAATATTAGAATGCAGACCTCGGTACACTACTGCAACTGAGGTATATCCTTATTAATGTATCAACCCAGAACCTTTGTGGCAAATTTACTCAGCTGCTGTTTAAAATCTTTGAATAAATCAATATATGGTACATACTAGATGCTGATATATTGCATAGCAGTAAAGTAGAATAGAATTAGGATTGTGTTATTTAGTCCCTTTTTAGGGTCATATAAATTTGCCTGGTTTTACAATGGATAGATTATTGAACAATGGCTTTACTTGCTCATTTATTACATTTAGTCACTTCCTCTTGTATTTCAAAACAAACATACTCAACCATGATAGCAATAAGTAGTGTTCTGGTGTTGCTTAGTGACAGTATTGACTGTTGATGGTGATATCTTTTAGCTAATCCCAGTTTCAGTGTTCAGGAAGAGTAGGTTTTAGACTTCAGCCACTTTTTTAACAGTTAATAAATTCCTATGTAATTTTGGGAGGCTTATTTTTGGATTGGTTTGTTACTTGACTTTACAGTTTACCACGGAATCAAGAAAAATTAAGTTTGAAGTTATCTTTGGAGGTTTTTAATCTATGTTCTCTTTGCAAGGTAGGTTTGACTATAAATGTTATTCTTGCCAGGTATTTGCTTAATTTGTTCTTAAACCTGCCTGTAGAGAGATTTTTCTTACATGCCCTTTTCTGTTTGCTCTAGTATTTCACTACCCTTTCATGCTAGATCTTTCTTGCTGCAGTTTAAGACCCTTATTATTTGTTCTGTCTAAAAATGGATTGCAGAGTGAGAGATCTGTGCTAACTCTGCAAGGTTGAGGGACATGGTTCAGTTTACTCATATGTATGCCTTTTGTAGTGTTTAATTTAAGCATATACATAAAATCTATTGCAGGATGAAGGCTGTGATTTCAGGCAGTGCCCATAAAATACAAAAGGAACAGTTTAGATAATCACACTGTGGATTACTTAGTTTGCTCACTTAGATTTAGTTGTATATCCCTTACTTAGGTCTTTTTTTTAAAAGGGTAAAGGAAAGCTCCAATGAGAGCCTTTGACACTGAAGAAATAAGAAGGAACGTGTATGTCTGTATGTATGAACTTTCTGTATATACAAAATAAATCTGTTTTGTTTAGAAGTGGCTCAGGTATTCCCAAGGAACCAGCCCCATAAGGCGGAAATGCAAATCTAGTGTTGCGTTGGTTTACTCCTAATACTATTTATATGGTATATTTTGAAGGGCAACCGGGTACCTTCTGCTGTGTTTCCTAAAAAGTGGAGCATGTTGTATATATGCTGAGTAACAAAAGGCTGCCTTGTTAGCCTTTTCTAGCCTTTGAACCTAGAAGTATGGGAAATAAATTGTGTGGAAATTCAAACAAAAAGAAACCTGACACAGAAAATAATTTTATTGTTTATCAAACCTGTCTCATGAAAATAATCTGTCCATATTTGGGGATTAAAATTTTTCAGTTGTAACTCAGTTATAGATCAGTGTGATTTGCAATGCCTTTTCAATAAATTAAGAAAACCAAATCCATGTCTTGCTGAATTAATATAACAAGATTATCAAGAGGAATAGATATGCCATGGCTGATAATACATTGTGTTAAACTCATCTGTGGAAGAATTAAATACTCAGTCACTAGAATATGAATTTAGTCATCAGTTGTTTTTGAAAAGTTATTTAAAAGTTTAAGTTAATTACAATTATAAATTAAAATAATTTCTTGTGAGCTCTAAAAAGTTTGGCTTTGTCCATTATTATTATTCTTTAAACTAGTAGTTACATTATGGTTGATACTGTCAGAATGAAATTAATCTTGTCCAGGCTAGCTTATGAACAAGAGAAGAAAAAAACAAAGCAGGTCTGTGTGAATCTTTCAGTATGTCTTTCTCCATTTGTCTCTGCATGTTGTTCTTAGCATTTCAAATATTTTTTCAAATATTTTTAAATAGTGTTCTCTGTTGTGTCAAATAAATTGTGGCCAGTTATACACTTAACATTATGCAGTCACCTTGTGATGCATGTGGAAATTACTAATGACACTGGGATTTAAAGTTCTGTGAAGCATCTTGACTTCCTTGTATAATTCTCCTCCACGTTTCCCAGAAGTGGGGGGAATAAAGCTGCTCTTCCAGGTTTGTTTTCTTCATGGAAGCAGGTGACTGATGAGCCTGTAGTAATGATAAGAAAAATCTAAGACTGCCTTGTATTTCAAGAAAATAATGAAAACTAGTTTTATCCAACATTCTTAGAATAATAGATTAGACTTAGGTGTCTTCATTTTTAAAAACTCCCTTGACTATTTTGACGGAATTAAGACACTATGATGGTGTGATCAGGTCAGCCTTCTGTTGACTGAATTGAGTAACAGGAATTAGACAGTCAGGGGAGGAAATAATGCAGAAAATTTATTTTTGTTTTCACGTGATTTTAATATTGACTTTGGTACATGTTAATGCATTGCTAACTTTCTTTTAGCAATAGGCTTTACACTTTTGACAAAAGCATTAAAAATATGTAATGTTCAAGGTACAGAGAAGTTATCATCCATCAAATTCTGGTCGTAAATTCATTATCCTCATAGATTAAAGTTCTTAAATCAGAGATCAAAATCAATTTATTATCTATTTCTTGAGAAATATTTCTTCAGGGGTAGTCACCTGAGAGATATACCACTGTGTTCAAAAGGGTGTTCTATATGAAGGGAGAATCCAGGAAACTTTTAATTATGTGTTCCCTACTAGGAAGCAGTAGCTTAATTTTGATTTAGTTTGGTTTTCAGTTTCATAGGATGAAGTTAAATTGTAGAGTTCTTCCTTCTTATTTTAGAACAGGTGAAACAATAGGAAATACTGTATCTTGCATTGAAATACGAATCCTAAATATAGAACCTTATTCCTTCCAAAAGATAAACTTTGATTTTATTTCTCTAGCAACATCTCTTCTTGGATACTCTAATTTAAGCCATAATAATAGAATATAACATGTAAAATTATTTTCTTTGTGCACAAAACAGTGTGCTGGATTATAGTTTCTCTCTGAGGTGTTTTATTATTAAATCCATATTTTTATGTAGGGATGCAAAGTAGTATTTGGTGTTTCTTACACTCACAGCAGAGCAAATTCCTGACCCAGAGACTGTGGAAAATAAAAAGACTCTGCACACAGTAGTTTAAGAATATGCAGTAGTTGAGAGCACCTGAAAGAGTAGATAAAGAGAATTCAAAGAAAAGTGTTCTTAGGGTATTTTTTTATGTTTAATTTTATACCCCTATTCATGTTGTGCTTGTCAAGTCTCACTCATTTTTTCCTTCATATTTTTGAACCGCAATGCAGTCTTCCATCTGATAATAGTGTTGTTACTATCTTGATATCAACCTACCCAGTTTTGATGAAACCCTTTATATAGACAAAAGGAGCAAG